TTTTTTTGATTATTTTTCTTTAATCGGTGTTCAGATTCTTTTATTTGTCTTTGTTTTTTTCTAATTGTGTAAAAAATTATATTTTCTATAAAACAAATAACAGTTGATAAAATGATGCCAAAACATAAAACAAGTAGAATTGGTATTGTTTCATGAATCGTTACACTTGATACATAGTGTTTATCTTTATCACAATAAGGCTTCCTATAAGTCCAACGTATCACTTCTCGCTTCCGAATCCCCGAAGTGGATATCCTAATAAGACTATAATTATATAAATATTAATCTAATTAAAAGAATATATACTATATATATAAATTATTTTTATTAATTTATTTTTACGAAATTCTTACCCTATTTTTATTATCTCTTGAAATTGACTATGTCGCGTTGACCACAAACCTAATGAAGAAGGACGAAGTAAATGAACTTCAGTAAGCTGACAGATCATTTGTTTATCAAAAACACGTTCTATAAATGGATAAACATTAATAGGATCTGCATGGTAAGCAAATTTAGCTGTCGTTATTTTTTTTAAACCATCTTGTATTGAAAGAAATCTTTTTTCTTCTGGTATTTTCTCCCAATATTTTTTAAAATATTGAACTTCTTCTACAGAAGACTAAGAAAATATTTTTCAATAATAAAAAATTAATATTTAATTTTATACATGATAAAAACAAAATTATGAAAAAAATTCTAATTTTAGTTGCATGCAAGATTCGAACTCACATGCAATAGAATATTAAAATAAATATCTTTATATGCTACAAGTTTCATTCGACTATTTATTAATGAATATAATGAATCATTCATTTTATCTAAAGGTGCATTCAATCGACTGGATACTATAGCTGCTGAATAATAATTATATACAAGTAAACCAAAAGTCATGGTTTGAAGAAAAGCAATACGACTTGAAAATTGATTATTAAAAAATGGTAAACCTGTAATATCAAAAATATTAAATGTAAATATTAAATGTAATGCTATAGCAATATTTACTTTCAATATAAAAGATGATCAAATCTTTATCAAAATTTTATTATTACAAATAACCAAATAATTTAAATAATGTAGTAAATAACTATATTAGATAATTGATAATAATGAATATTAATATTATGCAATTCATCATGAATTTTAATTAATTAATTAAATTTGATAAGGTTTATTGATAAACCTTGTTGACATAATGCAGCAATAATAATAAGAATTGTTGATCCATAAGCAGAATCATTCTTTTCAAGTTTCAGAATAATCCATAAACTGAGAATTATTGTGACTGTTAATAATAAAATCATATACCAAACATTTCTTGCAAATGGTCTAAAGATTATATTCATATCCACTTTTAATGAAGGTACAGTAAGAAACATAAAGCATGTTCTGAAAAAAAATTATTTTGTATTATTTTTTTTTTTTACTTTGCATTATTATAATTCAAAAGTTCAAATATTCATTAAAAAATAAAAAAAAAATTGTGAAGAAATATATATGATTATAAATTTTTAAATAAGATTTATAATAAATAAAAATAAAATAACAAATAAAAATTAATAAATAAAATAATTTATAATATTAATAAATAAATATTAATAAAAATTTATAATATTAACATTTAATTCCAAATTCAAAATATTGTATATATATATATATATATAATGTACGTATGTACATTATTATAAATTTCGTAATTAACATTGCAAATTATAATCGTTTTTTCTTATCATTTATAATGTATTAAATTTATAAATGATTAGGAATTAAATATTTTAAAATATATTACCTTACAGGCCAAACTTGCATAATTACATCTGCATAATTGAACCTTTCTTTTGTCAAAATTGATGGAAAATATCCTAAATCATAAATGCCATTTTTGAAACCAGCAATTAATGGGCCATTGCTATCATTTTTTTCCCAATGATTTAATTCTATTAATTCAAAACTAGAAATATTTAATACTTTGGTAATATTTTTAAATAATTATAATATTGAAAGATATTAAAACTTAAAAATTGAAAAATTACGTGAAATTGAATAGTTGTTTAATATGTTCCATAATAGCATATCCAAATTTAGACCAATTATCTGTGTGTTCATATAAATTTTCTTCTTGAAGATAATCTATCAAACTTTGATTTTTAGGTCTATTTACTACCTATATAAAAGAATCATAAATAGATGAATTTATTATATTATATTACTGTTTTCGATTTACATTTTTATATAAAATTTTTATATTTTATTTAAAAGAATTTTTTTTATAAAAAAATTTTTATTATATAGAATTAAAATTATATTTTAGTATAAAAGAAAATGATTCTGAAATTTTTAATTCTTAACATACTATTAGCGATAATAAATAACGATAGGCAAAATATCTAAAATTCATCTATCCAAATTCATTAGTGTTATGACCATTGATTGAAAATTGATTGTGAGACATTGAAAAGAAAGATTTTATTTTCAAAATTATTTACATGATTTCCGATCGAAAGTCCAAAGAATAGAACATATTATTTAAATCATATAAAATTGTAAAATTATTTAAATTTGAATTTCATTTTGAAAAATGCAAACTATAGAATTAAGTTGTAATTGATTAATGATAGTAATGAAATTGAAGAATTTTCTGTAAAAAAAGAAAATAGTTTCTTATGGAATTTCATAGTTAAAAAAATCCTCAGCGAATGTCAACTATTAGAATTTTAATTGACAATTTGCAGAACAGTGAAAATTATTAGATTGGGAAAGAAGAAGTAAGAGAAAAAAAGAAAGACAGAAGCTGCGAATTTTGTTATTCGTGTTAAATAACAAATAATTATAGATTAATTTCGAATTAATTATAGAAAATTATAGAAAATTATAGAAACTAATTATAGAAAGAATTTCGAAATTTAAATGCTATCGTTTTTGTTTTCACAAGTAATTAAGAATAATAGAGCACAACAGAATCTAGCGATTGGACTGGAAATATAAATAATCATGTAAATTAAACTTTTGTTAAATAATGTAAATTCTTTTATGTCCGCATCTAATCGATTTATTTACTAATATTTACTTTCGCTCTAATTCAGCTTTTGTTCGCAGTATTTGTTAAATATGTTTGTTAAATATGTTTGTTATAAGTTCTTTATCATCATGACATGTTTTTATTTTCTTTACTCTCTTTTGATCTTTTTACTGATTATATAAATTAATTTCATTTTTGACCAAAAACTTTTTCAAATTAGATAATATTTCAAAATTATTAATAGCAAAAAGAGAGAATTGATCTCTCTATTGGCTATTTAGACATTGATTTTGGCCAACCTTGGAATCAGTCTTCGATAAGTTTATTTTAGAGATTGAAGTCGATCAAGATGTTTAAGAGTTCTGAAAATTTGGAAAAAAATTCCGAATTCAAGAAAGAATATCGATTAAATTTTTAAATTTTATATTATATATGGGTAATTGCATCATGAATTATTAGATACTTTGCCTGTCACCGTTTGTGATGTGATATTAATGATTGTATTATTAATGATATTCTTATTAAAATGCTAAATAGAGTAAATTTGATAATCATATTCATAAATTTTGTAAATTTTCTTAATTATTTTTTCAATTTTTACTTTTTTATTTTGTATATAATAATTATTTGAATATACTTACAAGCCCAGCAATTTTTATTTTCATCCTATGATAATTCCATCTTCTGGAGAATTTATTTGTCTGTAAAATAATTTGTAATCCATCGTTTTTAGTCCAAGTACCAAGTTTCGTAATATTTAACAAACCACCGTAATTTTTGCAATGATTGTATACGTCATACAAAATATAATCATTGTCTTTTGATATAGCAATTGTGACATCCGTAATGATACTAAACATATTATCATTTAATAATTCAAGTATGTGATTCATATTTTTCTCCAAAATCAACCATTGATGTAAATGATCGAACATGTAATAGGTTGAAGTCTAAATTATTGTTTTTGTTATCAATTTCATTGTTATCAATTGTTTAATCAATTTTTAAATTGCAAGATAATTGTTTAAAGAATATAATTTTTTTAATATGATTATACCTCGTAAAAAAGCTTCACTATATCCTCGTCTGAAACTAAACATTCTAGATCCACAAATATACCTAAATTCCAATAAGTAGTATGCAAAAATTGTGGTATATTCATTATCGATGTAAATTGAGTAATAGACACTCCAATTCCTGCTTCATTTAGAAGCTTAAAAATTTGATAATCATCTATATCGAAATATTAAACCATATTATAACCGATTTCTAATTAAAAAATAATATAATTTAAAAAATTTTTGTTTATGAAATTTTTTTGGAATAAACAAATTTTAATTCATATAATATTAATAAAATAAATATATTTATTGAGAATATAATAATGTTTAAAAAGTAATATATTTAAAATATGTTTTATCTAATATTAATTTAATTATATATTATGTGTATTTTTCATAAAAAAAAAGTAGCTCACTTTCAATGTTTCCACAAGAAAATCCAGCCACTCTAGAAACATTTTTAAAAATGAAATAATCGCGAATGATATCCATATTACTCGCGTACGATACAACAATTAATTGCAAATAAAAGATATTTTGAAAATACATCTCACTGTTATTGTTACTCGCGATTGCACATAGAATGACTGAATACAGCGTTCATGTTACAATTCCCAACAGTTATCCCTTCTTCCATTTTACATGAGAAAATATGACAGCTTTGACATGGACATCTCTTTAGAAAAAGAAACAATTTATGATTCTGAACTGACATAACGTACACGATAATCCGATAATATTTAATGATAATTAACTAAATAATAAAATAAAAATAATTAACTAATTAATAATTAAAATCTAAAAAATATTGATTTTGGAAATAAATGTATATATTATATAACTAGATCTTTTATTACATTTAATAATTATGTTAGACAAAATATAATTATTATGAAATACATATTATGTTACATTCAGTTTAAGTTAAATGAAATTATCTATTAATTAAATTAATTTATGAAGATTATGGAATAATATCTAATAAATTATTTCTACTATTATCACTGCTAAAACTTTCCTTTGTTTCACTCTTCCTCCTTTGATTTATTTCCCTTATAAAATAGTAAATAAAATATAAATAAATTTTTATTTTTATGTTTACAATTATATAAGCAGAACTTACTTCATGGAACGATTGTAAATAATATTTTCCATAATGCAAATGATACCAGCTACGAGGATTCCAAATGCTAATAAAATTAATGCTGGAGCAATTTCGTAGATTGTGATGCTTCTTGTGGATAAAGTATCAAGTTGACATTCCGGTTTCCTCGACGACCAATATTTGATTTGTCGATTTCGAAGACCAGTATTAAACATCTTTGTCAATCTTTAAGAAATAAGTAAATTTTGTGATATTAAATAAATATGATAGTTAAATGAAAAATATATATATTTAAAGATTATTTACCCTATTTTTGCTATTTCAATGAACTGGCCATTATGACTGGCATACATTCCCATTACCGATTGTTTAAACAAATGAATTTCCGTCAATTCACAGATTTTATTAGAATCGAACATTCTTTCAACGAAAGGATACGCTGTATTTGGATCCGTATGATATGCTAAAATACCTTGACCCACTTGTCTAATACCTTCTTCTATTGGTAAGTATCTTTTCGATTCTGGTAAAGGATCCCAGCGTTTTTTACGAAAATAGTCCGATTCCCAGTTCAAATTCTATTAATAATAATATGATCGATATTATAACATCGATTTTATTTCCTTTTTATTTCTTCTCTTAAGACTTTTATTTTTTATAAGTATTAATCTTTTGGAGCTTACAAAATTTTAAGAAAAGAAAACTTGATCGATTAAGTTATCATATCGAAATTTAATTGATACATTTTTTTTTTATTTAAATATGATAAAATATGATAAATTTAAATAATACTTACATATAAAAAATATTTTAAATATGGTACAGCTTCCGCCGCGATTTTTAGATTACTATCAGCAAGAACAATTACAGAATCTTCCATCATGTCGAGAGGCTCACTTAATCGAGCTGATACGATACTAGCAGAATAATAATTATACATTATCCAACTGTGTACAATTATTTGAAATAGAGCTATACGGCTTGGTAATCGTTTTGGTAAAAAATTTGCACCTATTAAAATCAAAAACAGTATTAGTGATTTGATCTCAGGATTTTGAAAAATGTTTTTAATAAAATTATTTTTGTACCTTGTTGAGACAGGATTCCCACCGATAATATAATTGCATCAGAATATTTTTCTCTTTTGCCAACATCTTCACGATTCATTATTATTTTCATAATGAATATGAAAAATATTCCAAAAGCAGCAAATACGTACCATGTTTGACGTGTAAAAGGTTTTAAAAAAATTTCTAATTTAATCTTATTGGTTGAAGTCGATAATAACATGAAACAGGGCCTAGGATTAAATCGTCAATTTTTTAAAAATTTTATAAATTTTAAGCTAGAAATATTTATATTATTCATATTTGGTGAATAAATAAAATAGAATAAAATATAGTTGATTGTTTTTTGTCTTTTTCATTATTTGAATGAAATTCAATTTAATGGAAGATCAAGCTATGCCACTAATTCTAGTATTTTCTAATATTATTTTTTAATAATAACTATATAATAAAATTCTTATATAAATTCTATTATAACATATAAATTCTATTATAACTATATATAAATGATTATTTTCTTATGTATTTTAATTTCTATTATTATTATTATATTTTCTATAATTTCTATATATTTTATGTATTCAAGAGAATTTCTATATCTTCAAAAGAAAGCTATCAAAAAATTTTGTCTAGCGTTCATAATTATTACATATAATATGATTTTGAGAAGAATAAAAATTGAAAGATATAATTTTCATATTACAATTTATTCAATTAGCTATCATGATATTTTTAAGAAATTCAGTATAGTTTACAATAATAAAGTAGAAGATATATAAAAATTATATTGCTTTCAGTTTAGTTATATGCAAGATTATTCAATAAAATCTTTAAAATTTCTCTATACACTTTAATGCAAATTAAATGCACAAAAACATATATAAATAACATAATAATTATAAAGCTTCTTTTTTTATTTAATTTTTAGATTTAATATATAGAAAATAAAAAATAAATCATTTTTCTAGATGCATTAACTTCACATTAAATTACATTAAATTACATTAAAAGATTGAAATTTTTACCTTTATAATTATGCAATTTTTATTGACAAAATTTTGTATAAAAATCTTATAATAATAATTCTTATTATAATAATATATATTTCTTAATAATAATATTAAGAATATTAATATAAAAATATTAATATTCTTACGTAATATAATATTTTTATAATATAACTCTTTTTTATATTAGATCTCTTATTTTTAACTCATTTTTATGCATTCACACATGTCATACTAATTATTTTATCATTATAATCATTAAAATCTTTTGGAATTATAAATATTAAAAAAAAAAGGATTGAACAATTTTTAATAAATAATTCATATTAAAAATTTTTTGTAGTTATTTTTATATTCAATATATTCAATTAATGATTCATTATATATTAAAATTAAATATCAAATATATAATTTATTAGATAATTACGTTAAATGATTAATATATCATCAATTTGCTTACTTAATTGGCCATGCTGCACCAATGAGACTAGCATAATCTAATCGTTCAGACACCATTATTCTCGGATTACTGGCAAAATCGATATAATTCGACTGTAAAAATTCGAAAATCAAACCGTGTACGTTGTTTCGATCCCAGTAAATTATTTCTGAAGCATGAACGCTAAAAAAAAAAAAAAGAAATAGAATTTATTAGAACTCATTATGATAGAAAATCGAACGATTAATATATTAATATAATACCTAAAATTAAAAAGTTCTCCTATATGTAAAATCATGGCATGCACAAACTTATGCATACTATCTAAAGATCTTGTATTTATATCCTGCATGTAATCCTCGAGTCGCATGTCTTTTGGCCTATATTGAATCTAAGTAGAGTAAAAATCAATTATTTTTATCAGTTTTAGTCAAATTGGTTTATATTAATTAATAATCATTAAAGTTTTATTTTCGATATATATTGTTATTTGTGAATAATATTTTGATATATATATGTATATGTCATTAAATTTAAATTTATAAAAAGAATAGTATCTCAATTAAATAAAAAATATAATAGTAATAAAAGGAAATCTAATATTATATAAAACAAGATTTTATAAACAAACTGACCACTCCAGATATTTTTAATCTCATTCCATGCATATTAGCCCTTCTGTTAATTAATGGTTGCGTCAAAAATATCTTCAATCCAGAATCAAGACGCCAAGTACCAAGTTCAGTAATATTTAATATACCACCACGATATTTACAATGATTAAAGACATCATACAAATCGAAGCCATTTTTGTTCGATATAGCGAGAGCAACATCTGTTATTATGTTGTAAGCAGTATCGTTCAAAAGTGAAATAGTGTGATTATAATTCGAATCCAGTATTAGCCAATTGTATGAATAATCATACATTCGATATTTTGAACTCTGAATTTTAAGAAATATATTATAAACATATTAATATTATTGTATATCGCATTATTAATATTTTTAATCATGAAAAAAAATTTCTCTTACTTCTGTGAAAATTCGTACAGCAGTTTCATTATGGCATCGCAAATCGATTACGACGCCTACTGTCCAAGTTTCACTTCTCATAAATCTTCGGAAGTCAATTTTCACACTAGATTCCCTTATTATCGTAAATATACCCGTGGTGCTTAGCGTTTTCAGAAGATTAAAATCACCTAATTTAATTGTTGCATAAATTTTCACAAATAATATCTTTCTTAGAATAATAATTTTTTAAAGAATTTTTATATTTATTTTTATTCTTTTTTTAAAAAAAATTTTTAAATGAAATTCTAATTCTAAAAAACTTTAGTAATTAACAATTCTATTAAAAAACTAAATACTTATTTTTTTAAAATTATTAATCTATATTTCATTAACATTTTTACAATTACTTTAAATCTAAGATCATTTGTGTTTGATATATCTTTTAATAGCTAAAAATCTTTGAAAAGATCTGAAAAAATTATAATATCTTTGAATATTTTAAATTGAGATATAAAATTTAAGCAATAATTTGTTTGAATTATTATTAGAAATATAAATATATATTCGAATATAAAGCAAGAAAACAATATTTTTAAAAATTAAATTATCCATTTCTGGTTTATTTATTTCATATATTTTATATATTTATTTCAGATATATCATTGATTTAAAGAAACAATGATGAAATTTTGAAAAAGTTATTTTTTTATAAAATAAAATAAATTAATTTAGTTTTAATATTTATAATTAAATAATAAATGAAATATTGTTAAAAATAGGATAAATTTTATTATATTTTATATTTTTATTTTATTTTATATATCTGATATTATTAATTAATAATAAGTTGATATTATAATTATAATTAAAATATTAAATTGATAAAAAGAAATAAAGAAAAAAATTGAAAAAAAGAAATATTCTTAATTTTTATATATATATATTAATTATTATATATATTAAAAGAATTTTATGCTAAATTGATATACTTACTAACATACATACTAATTGAATATTGTTATTTTTCCATTATGTTATTTTTTTAAAAAATAAACTAATGATATGCAAATCCTACAAGTCTCACTTAACTTGAGACATTCTATTTATAATATATTCATATATTAATTTTTGTTGTCATTTATTATCAGTTTAGATTTCTTTTATTCGAATTAGTCATTATCTAAGATTATGTTATTCTTGTAAAATTTTTTGAAATAAAAGAAATGGAAATAATTTTAATTTTCAAATAGTTAGAGAAATTATATTACATTTATATTAAATTATTTATAGAAATGCATCGATATTAATGAACATTTTTGAATATTTATTTATTAAAATTAAATTATTCATTAAAATTAAAATTAATTTATTCATCTTAATTTTAACTATCATATCATAATGATAAAAATATTCCCATTTAAAAATATTTCAATGATTTTTAAATCTCTGATATTTTTTCGTAAAAAATAAGATACATATATAATACTCAAGTTAAATGAGGCATTGTATATATATATATATATATATCTAATAGTTCAATTAGATATAATTAATAATTAATAATTAATAATAATTACATATAATAATAAATAATAATTACATACCTATTGTATCACCACAAGAAAATCCCACAACATTTCGCACTTTTTTATAAAAAAAATAATCACGAATGAATATATGATCCTGTGCATTAGAGATTAAAAGAAATTGCAATAAAATAAAGAAAATAGGATACATTGTACTATTCCTTTTTTTAAACTTAAAACTTGTTCCTTAATACTAATCAAATACTTATCAAATTGAGTATCGTTAAATAATATCTTTCTATTATATTATTTTATTACGTTTTATGCATCGAATGCACGACGTATCATTTTGAATTCTGATATGAAAGACAAGTTAAATGATTTCGAGCAATTTGTCAAATTATTTGTGTCACGAAAAGTGCAGAACATGATTAATCGATTATTCATTCAAGCGTCTTGTTTCCAGCACGACAATTTCAATATCAAATAACGTCTTATGATCGATCGAACTTCTCATATATTGATTGCATAATATACTTACATTATTATTATTCATCTTTGCACTGTGTTTTATTAATTTCAATTGGAATGCTGTTTAAAAATAAATTAATGTAAGTTAAAGGAAAAATCTAAGGATTTAAAAATTAATTATACAATTGAAGATAAATAGACTGACAATTATTGCTCACTAAATCAATATAATTAATTAAATTTAAAATGTTGTCATATTTATTTCTAAATGATAACTAAATTTATTAAATTATTAAATTATTATTTTTAAATTACATTTGTGCATGTAAAATATGAATAGTGTGTAAAATAATTATACGTCTTTGTAATTAAAATTCACAAATTTCATTTGCATATCATATTAAATATTTTATCTCTATTTTTTTTAATTATTTTTTTTCTATTTTTCGATCAAAAGTTGAATTCCATTGAAATTAAAATAAGGTGATTTTAATTTGATAAAATCTATTATTACTTTTTCAATACAGTTGAATGACTATAGAAATATAATCATATTTCTATAGAACTTATAGAAATTTGATAATTTGTGTCAATATTTATATATTGATACAATTATATTAATAGATTTATGTATAATTGAAATTAATTAATATATATATTATGATTTATGTTTAATAACTCTTTGATTATTAAAATGAATGTTTCCAATTCTATTTTAATATATTTTATATATAATTTTAGATTTAAATCTTACCTTTGATATATTATTAAAGATATTGTAGTATGAATTTATGTGCAATTTATGTATGAATTTATATTCTAATTACATTGTCGTTAATTATATGAAATATTTTCATTAGAATCATATAAATATAAATGAGCATTTTTTTAAAACTGCTATATAGATATAAATTAAAATAAATAATAATGAAAGTTTTAAATCGAATTAATTTACATAATTAATAATTAAGTATTTCCATGCTTATTCGAGTGACAAATTAATTAAATAATAATTATATTATTAAAATAATTATATCGTAAGAATTTTAAGAATTCTGAAAATGGTCTCATTCGCTAAAAGAATTGAAGTTTCTCAAAGTTTATAGATTTATTATTTTTATTATTTTTTATTATTTTTATTATTATTTAGATCCTCGTGAAGAAGAAAGATTTGAATTCTTGTCGATCAATTGGTTTTTTCCATTATGAAACTAGGAACTCTAAAAAAAAAATTTTATATCAATAACATATTTCAATAATATGTATATTATATAAATTTCTTTAAAATAAATTTTGAATTCACCGTGTCGGAAAAAAACAGAAGATCATATTTTCAATAATGCAAATGAGAATCGATAGAATAATAGAGATGCATAAAAACATAAAAATCGGCGCAGCTTCATGAATCGATAGAGGTTCAGCAATAAGTAGGTTATTTGGACAAAAAGGTTTTCTAGCCGTCCATCGTATCAATTCACGTTTCTGGATACCCACATTATGAATTTTAGTTAAACTAAAAAAACAATTAATTTTCAAATTTTATTTTTAAATTATTCTCTTGAAACCGATGATTTCAAGTATTATAATTTAATTTTTTACTAATTAATAAATGAACATATTTCGAAAAAAAGAATTATTAATTTGTCCTAAATTTAAATAAGTATAATATTTCTCAATTTTTTAATAAGTTAATATGATATTTGATACAAAAAAAATTATTTTTAAATTTTTTATAAAAGTTATACAAAATGCAATTAAAACGATTTCAAAATATTGCTATAATTTTTTTTAATATTCTAATTAATATATATTCTTTTAATGTATAATAATTTCATTTCGTTTTAATTCAAGTTATATCCATATACGCATAAATATATTACAATAAATCAATTAAGAATATATAACATTCATACCCTACTTTCATAAGTTCGGTAAAAGGACTGTGGTGTCTTGCATAAAATGCGAGAACAGCACGGAATAAATGAACTTCCGTGAGTTCGCAAATACTTCGATGATTGAACGTGTGTTCGATGTATGGATAAGCAGAATCGGTCATCGTGTGATAAGCTAAATGACCCTCCGCCACACGATTAAGTCCCTCTTTCAGGGGCAAATATTTATACGATTCTGGTATTTTCGTCCAACAATTGTCATAAAAGTATTTCACTTCCTTGTCTGATACCTACATATTAATTTTAAATAAATGCATTTGAAAGAAAAAAATATTGTTTAATCTGTCATGGAATGGTCAATAATATTTAAAATTATAATAAGATATTCTTTGTAATAAAAATCATTATAAAATATTACAATTGCAGATAAGTTTTATTCCATTAGTAAAATATTTTTTTTTAGTAATTTTTTATTAACATTATTATAAATATCATATGCATTTATATTGCATCGTTTATTTTATTATTATATTTATAGAAATTTTTATATTTTCGTTTTTTAAAAAAATTGTTTCAATAAAATATATAATTTTGTTTTTTTTTCTCTTATTTTTTTTGGAAAAAAATATTACCTGAAGAAAAGAACGAATGTACGGCGTAGGTTCTACTGCAAGTTTCAAATTACTTTTTGCCAAATTAATTAAAGAATCATTCATCTTCTCCTCCTTATTTTTCAAACGACTTGATACCACACTTGCAGAGTAATAATTCAAAATTAACAAACTAAAAAATAAAACTTGTAGAAGCGCGATCCGACTTGCGCAGCGAGTTGGAATAAATGCAGAACCTATGAAAGAATTTCGTTTTAAAAAATTTAATAAGCTTTCTTAATTGATTTTTTTCAAACGTATTATGAGTTTTTATTTTAATCCTATACCTTGTTGTGACAATGCTCCTATTGTGAGCAAAACAGAGAGACCGTAAATCTCTGTGGGGGTACGAATATTTTCTAATTTTAAAAAGATAATTAAAATTGTCGTTACGACTCCTATCATGGCAAGTATCACATACCATACTTTCACGGATAAGGGTTTTAGAAATTGACCTGGTTTAATTTTTGTTGAAGAAATCGTACGAAACAAGAAACACGATCTATGACAATGAAATATTAATAAATTAAATTTTTTAAATCAATAAATATGGTTTAAGAAATACCATGATAAAAATTTTTATATTATATAATTATATTAAAACTATGAAATACGAAATTTTAAATGTGAATGAGTTACATTTAATAAAAAAATATATATTAAACATCGATATTATAAAAAATTAAAAAAAATAAAAATAATAAAAAAACATAAGAAATTTGAAGATCTAATGATTTAATATTTTTCTATTTTTTATATTATAATTCTATAGATTAGAAATATATCAAAATTAAAAAACTATAAATAAATAATATATTTTAAATAATTTTTTATCAAATATCAAAATATTACATATTTTTAAAAACATATAAATAATATTATAATACTATAAATATATACTATATATGTATATATATGTATATATATGTATATATATGTATATGTATATATTATACATGTATATACTATATATATACTATATATATATACATATATATATACTAATTAATATATATATATATATATACTATATATGTATATACTATACATATAATACTATAAATAAACATAAATGAAAGATGTGAAGTGAAAAAGCTAGACAGTAGTATATACCGTATTGGCCAGACTGCTTTAATTATATCACCGTTATGTAGTCTGTCAACTTTCATCGCGACTGGGCTTGCTGAAAAATCTATCAGCTTTTTTTTAAAAGCTGCGAAAATAGGACCAGAGTTATCGAATCTTCTTTGAGCGTTTATTTGTACAATTTCCATACTGTAAACCAATAAACAATAAATAAATTTCCAAAGATAAATCAATAAATAATAGCTATTTATCTCTATATTTATTTATAATAATTCAGTTAGTTAAAAAAAACTTTATTTAAATTAAGATAAAAAAAAATTTTTAAATTTATTATTATGTTTAACTATATTAATAATTAATATAAAAAATGAATTGAATTAAAATTTAAAATTATTGATATAATTATTTGTAACTTCTATTTTTAAAAAAACATGTTTTATATTTAAAAATAATAAAAATTATTATATTTAATGACTATTTTTAAGATAAAAAAAAAATAAAACATTTTTATATTTAATGTTTACAAATTTATTAATTTTTACGTGAAATTAAAGATGTCAGACACGTGCTGCAGTAGTATATATAAAAATTTCGATCGACCATATTTCGATTTCATGCTATATTGTAACATCATATCGTGAAGTGACATATTTTTTGGTTTAAAATTAATCTGTAAATTTTATAATTATTTGATTTGTATATTATTTTAATATATATTTTTTGTTTGAAATTACTTAAATTCTAAATTCAAAATTTTAATTTTATTAATAATTTTATTATAATAACTATGAGACTTTAAGATAACTTACTACAATTCCAACTTTAAGTTTCATTCCATGCAAATTTGATCTTCTCGCGAATTTTGATTGATTTAAATTAACGTTTAATCCTGTTTTAAAATTCCACATTCCAAAATATGTTACATTCATTGATCCTCCTCGATCTTTACAAGGATTATATACATCGTATAAAATATAATTATCTGCTGATGGCACAGCAATTATAACATCAGTAGAGACAGTAAACGTTTCATCACTTAATATTTCTAATACATGACTTAAATTTGAACCAAAAATTAACCATTTATGCATTTCATCATACATAGAATATTT